GTGTGTGTGTGTGTGTGTGTGTGTGTGTGTGTGTGTGTGTGTGTGTCTTTTAACAAATTATCTTGTGAACCACTGGCAGAAAGAATAATCACAGGATTAACAGTCTGCATCTTCAGCAGATTAACTTCTGGACCTTCAGGATTTAGAAGAAATACACRAATGAGTCTTTTAGTTGTATGTGTTATATGTTGTGCTATAATATCAAGTGTTTGAAAAGATTAATGAAAATGTACTGATGAACTTGTTTCATGTACTTTTTTTTAGAAACCATGTGACTGGAGGCAGGTGTCCCAGTAAAGCYACAATTACAGGAAAAACTGTAGTTATAACAGGCGCCAACACAGGCATTGGGAAAGCAACAGCTCAAGAACTGGCTAAAAGAGGTGCRGAGATGCAACTGTTTTCTTTTTAATCTGCTCCAGAGAAACAAACAAACATTAGTTTAAATCCAAAGCATTTTTTTTTTCTGCTCTCGCACTTTACTTTTCCTGCATCCTCAAGGGGGTCGGGTCATTATGGGATGCCGTGATATGGAGAAGTGCGAAGCAGCGGCGAAGGACATACGAGGGAAAACTCTGAATCCTCATGTTTACGCACACCACCTTGACTTAGCCTCCATGAGGTCTGTCCGAGAGTTTGCAGAGAAAATAAACCGAGGTGATGGAAATCAGTCTCTTTTTTTCCTTTTTGTTCACTCAAAAAAAATCTTTATAATCGTAGTAAAACTTTTGCTCTTGTTGCAGAGGAGAACCGGGTGGATGTATTGATAAACAATGCGGGGGTCATGAGGTGTCCGGCAGGGAAGACGGAGGACGGCTTTGACATGCAGCTTGGAGTGAATCATTTAGGTACTTATTTCAGCTGAAACACTTCTCAATCAAATGAACAGCTAGAAGAGTGTATATGAGAAATCCTAGTTTTTACCCACTCTGTGAAAAACTTATGCAAAGTTTGTGCTTTCCTTCAGGCCACTTCTTGTTGACAAATCTCTTGTTGGACAAGCTGAAAGAATGTGCCCCCAGCAGGGTGATCAACCTGGCCTCGCTCGCCCACATTGTTGGAAAGATCGACTTTGAGGATCTGAACTGGGAGAAGAAGAAGTTCAATACCAAGGAGGCGTACTGTCAGAGCAAACTCGCCAACGTTCTGTTCACCAGAGAGCTCGCCAAGCGCTTAGAAGGCAAGGCTGCTGCATCTGTGGGCATGTGTGGGAAGGAGATGTTCCTGTTTATAATTAGCCAATGGGTGGCTTTAAACAATGCTTTGTGTGTGTATGTATGTGTGTGCGTGTGTGTGTGTGTAACAGGCACAGGGGTCACAGTGAATGCTGTACACCCAGGAGTCGTTGCCACGGAGCTTGGGAGACACACYGGTCTGCACCAATCACAGTTCTCCAGCTCTGTGCTCAGTGAGTAGCTTTCTTTTCTCGYTGAACTGTAAGTTCAGACAAATCAATAAATGCTCACCTAATGCACCAACTAATGGCTGAATTAATCTGCCGAGACTGATATCAGACATCAGTTTCTCAGGTAATTTTCACATTTCGTCAATATACACAGGCAACAATAAAAATCAACTCTGATTTGACAAATTTCACTTTTATAGCTTAGTAATTATGAGGAAAAGCACTTAAAGCTCATTTTGCGTGTAATACTCAGTAGGCCTTATTTAAATAAATATTTTGATGGCCTTTAATTAAACGTAAAAATTCAGAGAAATCTTTATTTTGGGTATCAAAAATTTAGAAATGTATTCCAGTAACACTCTTTGTAGTTTACATTTTTAGATWAAAAAATGGATTAATAAGTGACTAATTGAGACAGGAACAGATTTAATGTTGCTGTTTTTAGAATGTTTTTTTATTTTTTGTGCTTTGAATTGTAATAAAAGCTGGAGGGATGAGTAAAATGTAAACGGATGTAAAATATACATTATTTTAAGGATTATAAAGCTCATTCTAAATGAACTGGCAAAGTTTTCCATGTTTCGGAGCTTACAGCCTCTTATCAGTGCACAGTTTAAAAACCTGCCTCTCTGATGGTATGGTGGTGCATTAGTGCCTACACATGGGCAGCTTCAACATCTGGAAAGGCATTGTCAATGTAGATATCGATTTCAGAACAATATATGCTCCCATCCAAGAAAAAAAAAATCAGTGAAGAAGATCCAGAGCTGTTGAAAAGCTGGAATCCTCGATCAGACAAGAACAGGACATTTTCTTCCCAAAACTGCAGCAACTGGTCTCAGTTCTAGATGTTTACAGACTGTTGTTTAAGATGAGGGGGTGCTTCACAGCGGGAAACATGACCCTTCCCCAACTTTTATACTTAAAATCATTATTTTCCACAAAATGGTTAAAATATTGATATGTTTACCGTTACAGGTCCATTTTTCTCCATGCTGGTGAAGAGTCCAGAGCTGGGGGCCCAGCCTAGCGTCTACCTGGCCGTGGCCAAGGAAATGGAGGGGGTGACGGGGCGGTACTATGATGTGATGACTGAGAAGGAACCGGCTCCTCTGGCCCTGGATGATGAGACAGCTCGCAGGCTGTGGGAGGTCAGCAGCAAGCTGGTGGGTCTGCAGGAGTGAGGACAGCCGGGTCCGTCAAACCTATCCACAAAACTGGACTGGCAGATCCAGCACAGACGCTTGTGCAAAGCTCCAAACCAGCCATGCGTCCTGTGAGGCCTTTGGTCTGCTCTCACCTCTGAACCATCATAGATGAACTTTGACCTGTTTCAGGTTTTTAGAAACAGGTCTCGTGTTCAGGTTTGAGACTCTGAATGTGGCTGTCCGTCTGCTGTTTTCCCTTTTGTCCCGCATTGTTTTCTTTTTATTTCACCATTTTGCAGTGTGTCGTTTAGGCCAGCAGCAGAACATCTCAAATCATACATTTTTTAAATTATTTGTTAAAATACATCAAATAGGAAAAGAACTCAGGGGGTAAACAATTATTTTTTTTCTCAATAAACTTATGTAGCTTTGCTAAAAGTTCACATTATGAGGTATGTGATGTTTCCTTAATCCAGGAGATTAATGTTGACTTCTAGCACCACCTGTCTGTCAAACATTAAATGACTCAATAATAGCTTTACCAAGGGACAAAGTCACATTTTACCTGTCATATTGTTAAAGAATAGGCTACAAATACATTTTATATTAAATTAAAATCTATAGAAGGAATTAGATAATACAAGTTTGTGCTTCTTAAAAGTTTAGAGCAACTCATTAAAAATGAGCACTTTTGCATTGGGTGACTCAGAAAAACAAATCAAGTTACAAAGCACTCATCTTCCATCTTCCATTCTCGATGCTCTCAGACATCCCCAGCTGTATGTGTTATTTGAGGGATCCTTTGCAAAGAGCTTTTTTCCCCCCAACTCCCAAAGCTCAGATCTATATGAGCCACTCTGATTAGCATCGACCCTGAAACAAGAAACCCTAAATCATTTTATTCGGTGTTGGTTTACAGGTRGAGACATAAGCTGGTGCCATTACAGAGGATGATTGGAATTTTAGACAAGCTTTTTCTTTGCTTTTCAGMCTGTCAGACTTTACTCATGAATATGTTGTCTAGCCTTTTGAGTGCTTATTGTCAGATCTGATTTTTGATGCTTCAGACCTTTAGCACTTTTCCAAACTCCTAAAAAAATATTTTCTTGTCTGCCTGCTGTACAAAATGTTACTTTTTTTACATAAACAAAAATGCATTTTGTTTGTTCGGAACAGTTTATTTCAATCATGTAAAGGGTGTAAGACAAAAAAGCAAAAGCAGAGAAATTGAAAAAAAGTATACAACAATAAAATGAATAAGTTATTCTCTGTTCTTTTAGTTTAAAGTTTAAAAACAAGTGGGGAAAACGTTCCTACATATTAAATTCCACACCTTCATCACAATTACTAATCATTACTTACTTAGCTTCTTTAATAAACCCTTAAACAACAATAGACAGACTGTATAAGATGAAGTTTTTCATTGGTTACTTGAACTTTTTTGATGTCAACTCCATTTATTTGAAACTACTAGGATTTTTAACTTGCTATTTCTAAATAAGATTATTTTAGTTTTTAAGTTCACTGATGGTTTATTTATTTATTTTTATCAAATCAAATATT